AAAAAACTTGTTCGGGACACAATTCTGGAACACTTAGTTTCAAATAGACTTATATCTGAGGAGCACTGGTTTTGTTCCAAACAAATCATGCACAAGAAATCTTATTGAGACAATTGACACAATTACATTCAAAACTGCAAAAGGTAAATTGTTATGCGTAATATATCTTGACTTCGCAAAGGCTTTTGATAAAGTAGAGCACAAAAGATTATTGATAAAGATTAAAGTATATGGTATAACTGGTAAAACATATAACTTGATAGAAAGTTTTCTTGCAGATAGGAAACAAAGAGTTGCTATTAGTAATACAGTTTCAGAATGGGTATCTGTTACCAGTGGCATGCCTCAGGGTTTCGTTTTGGGTCCAATACTGTTTCTGCTATTCATAAACAACCTGCCAGAAGTTGTGCTAAACACATTTAAAATGTATGCTAATGATAGCATAATAATAGCCATAGAAGATTCCATTGATAAACAAGCAGAAATACAAACCAACCTTGACAACATTGTGAAATGGTGCAAAAATTAGGGTATGGAACTAAACTGCAAAAAATGTAAGGTGATGAAATTCGGCAATCTGAAATTCTAAGAGGCATTGATAAAACATATACAATGAAAATAAATGGAATGATTTATGATCTCTCCAACAGTGTATTAGAAAAAGATCTAGGTATTTTTGTACAACCAGATATGAGGTGGAAACATCTAACTCAAGTATGTGTTAACAAAGCTTCAAAAATACTGGGCTTATTGAAAAATGCCTTTGAAAGTAGAGACTGTTATATGTGGAAAATTTTGTATACTACTTATGTGCGACCTTATCTTGAATTTGCGGCTCCAGCGTGGAGTCCACCGAATGTGGCAGGAGGCTTAATGCTTGAAAGAGTTCAATGCAGGGCCACAAAAATACCATACTTAAACCAAATACTAAGTTATGAGAAATGGCTAGTTAAAATGGATTTAACTACTTTAAATCTCAGAAGAAAACGAGGAGACCTTATTCATTTATACAAGATATGAAACCATTTAGAATTTGTCAGTCTTAACATCAAACTAGTCTATAAGTCAAGCGTTAAATTAGATGGCCCATGTTCTTCCATTAGAGGTCACAAACATAAAATCAGAATACAGTGTTAACATAAAAACAAACATAAAATCAGAATACATACTCCTCACAAAATAAATGATTTCATACATCGGTTAGTTCAAGAATCCATTTCTTCGAGAACAGAGTGTGCCAAATTGAAACAAACTTCCGGAAATAGTTGTAGATTCCAAGAATTTGAATAGTTTTAAAGCAAGTTTGGACGAATGGCTTAAGAAAAATGAGAAAATATATATTGAAAAGAAAAAGAAAAAAAGTAATTGGGCTGCTATAGCTGAACATTACAATGTCTCAGCTTGTGGATAAGATCCACACAGTTTACCAGTAACTAACCACTAACTAACTATATAAAATAATTTCAAAATCTTTTACTTATTTTATATTTTATATATATGTGTGTGTGTGTGTGTATATATATATAATATATATATATATATATATATATATATATATATATATACACACACTAATGTTCATAATTATTCAAATGGCATTAACTTTTTTTGGAAATGCTATTTTTTAACTATATTTTATGTTTATTTTTGCACTATTAAATAATTTAAAAGTATTTTAGTTCAAATGCTTTGATAAAAATCATAAGTATAATAAAAATGTTTTAGTGGGAAAAACTACATACCATCAAAGACTGTAAACTCGGACCGATGTGTCGAAGTTTAAAATTTTTGGTTTCATGATAAGATTGTTTGTCTAGAAATAAATTGCTAAATTTATGATAAAATGTGTATTATTGGCTGTAAAACATGGATGTAGTGTTAAGGTGTTTTGGTTAGAATGGCACAGGTGACTTTGTGAAAACAGAAGGAGTAATGACAAAAGTAGTTTACTTGTACACTAATGATGAGAAATATAGAAATATAGAAATAAATAAAGTCAATGAGAATCACTTTTTCAAAAGAAAATGACTTGAAGCTTAAATCTAAAACATATTTTTCAAAAACTTGTTTAAGTTATTTGACTGACTTAGAAAATGATCAAATATTAAACAAAATGATTTAGCCTCCCCAATTACAAGATCTGTTAAAAACTAATGCAAAATCATGCAAAATGATGCATACGATGTGGGCAAAACTTATTAGTGGAATAAAACTGAATTTGAAAAATTGGATAATTTGTTAAGAAGATTGCCAAGAATATGTATGGCATATATATATATATATATATATATATATATATATATATATATATATATATATATATATATATATATATATATACATTTATAATAATAGAAAAAACTGTTTTTAAAATATTGAAAGTATATGCAAAGGTTTTTAGAGGAGTTTTTCACCATTTTTTTTGTCAACAACAATATTATTTGGTTTGATTTGAGTGTATGGGTTGGAGTCTTAGGTAAAAGTCTTTAATTGAAGTGAATTCAACATGTCATATACTTTTGATGTCATAAAAATCTCTACGTATTAAGGGTTGAAAAAGCTGCTTGAGGTTCATGGGGAGAAAAGACTGCCAAAATATGTTTTTAGGGACTTTATATTAAACAAAATATAAAGTCTAAAATATATATATATATATAATTAAAACTATAAAAGAATTTTTAAATTTGTTTCAAGATTGAATGTAGGATGATGATAAGAGAAGTAACTTCTTCAACAATTCATACCAAAGAAGTTCCAAATACATCAAACTCAAATATGACATCCAAATAAAGTTTTAAAAGTTTTTTAAATACTACACAAATACATTTACACTGTTCTTCTTTAACTGCAGTTGAGAATCTGATCTTATTTATCAAGTTGAGGAAGTTTTGTCAGCAGAGCAAGTTGGGTCTGGTATTTAAGTTGGTATAATAAAAGCTAAAAGGAAGACTAATGAAATTGCCAAAAGGGAAAAATTAATTTTGTCTTCTGGTGGAAACCCAATGCAGTAGTGGTGTAGTGGTAGTGCATTTGGTTGCATAAACTAGAAGTTCGGTGTTCAAGTTCCACAATGTCCCTTGTTTGTCAATGTTCCTGTTAATGTTCGGTGTTAAAGAGTTGGAGTGGGTTGTAATCATAATAAAGAAACCTCCTTGACTGTAGTGGCCCTCTTGACTTTGAGGACGTGAATTAGATAAATAAAATTAAAAAAAACTATTGACGATTTCATTTGGATGATCTGATAAAAAATCAAAGAAAAGTTACTTATATACTGTTGAGTACATATTTATGAAATGAGAAGATATTTATTTTTTGTACCTTGGTCAATAAAACAAGTACCCCTTCAGGTGATTAAGGATGTTCAAATAGTAGAAGAATTTTTTCTGAATAAAACAGGGCTGCTGATATCTACTTTTTGGAAAGGAATAGGAAGTAAGGTATCAGTACAGAACAACATCTTTGGAAAAAAATGTGACCTAGAAGAGTCCATATCATATAGTCCATATTTTTATCATGTAGAAAAGGTAGCAGTTGCATATCTTTTAGTATTGAAAATTAAGTTGAAAGTTTTTTCTAAAATTTATTTTAATTTTCCAGGACAACTTCCTTGACAGTACTGATGGCAAACTATAAAGGATCTTGTTTTTAATAAAGACATTTAATTTCATTCAGGATTCCTGATAACTACACTGAGATGTTTATTGATAGATCTTTGGTCAGGATTTGATAAACTTTATAATAGTGACGTTCTAAAGAGAGGGTATAAAGGTTGAGATAGGAATTATTCGAACCAGATACTTAAGTGTGTTGATAAGTTAGAATGAGTTGTTTTATCTAAGTTCAATGTTTAAAGGAAATTAAGATTGTAAAAGATTCTTGTTTTGGTAGAACACTTGAGTTCAGATATCAAAAAAAAAATCTAAGAATTCTTTCAAACCTGCTTAATAAATTGCAAACATTCTTGGGAAAAAACATTCAATAAATTGGAAAGTACATATACTCTTGTGTCATGTGCAACTTTTGTTGAATACCACAAATGTGGTTTACCTAAGTTTGCTGAACAATGCAGAGAATAAATTCATTCCAATGTCAAACCAAAATGAAATAAGTTCAAAAGACAAGTTGTTAACAAAAAAAATGGTGGAAGGCTCCTCTAAAAACCTTTGCATATACTTTCAATATTTTAAAAACAACTTTTTCTATTATTATAAAACAAATACTCTTAAATAAAAAAGGTTTGGTTTGATTGACACAACATAAAAATTGGTGGTCTTTTTAGTCCACTGTGGTATAAATTTAAAGATTTTAATGGAAAGAAGTGGAATGGAAACAGACTCATATTTCTTGTTTTTTTAAATACCTACTCAAAATCAACAAAAAGTGCACTGAAACTAATTTTAATCATATAATAAATTTTTAAAACATAAACAAGATTAGAATTATTATCATGATTTCCTGGTCATGTCTCATAAAGTTTAGAAAAAAAAACTTGAAGCTAAAGATAAAATTTAAGTCAAAGAAAAAGTTAAACCAAGATATTAACAATTAATGTTAACAATCAAAATTAACTCTTTAGTTACAAGTCCTGGTAAAGAGTTGCCACAAAACCACTAACTTTTACTCTGCCCTTATATATGGATAACCCTTAACCAGCATAGAATCTAAAAGAGTTTTCTCTAAAAATTATAAAAATTCAATAACTATAAAATGAATTTTTAGAAACTTAACCGAGAACTTACTAAAATGTTATATACTATATAAAATGTTAAATACTAAAAATGTTACAAAATTTTTCTCAAAAAATATTTTTTCCTATGTAAAAATAAAATTTTACATATGTTTACTAAAAAACAAATTTTTAATTCTGAATTTATTTTATAAAATTTTCTTTGATTAATCCTGGTACTGACAAGATTGAAAAAATTCGTAATCATGGTTTAAAAAAAATTATCTAGAACTGGGTTTCTTAATTTAATATAACAAACAAAAGCCAAAATTACCTGAGCAACTTTCTTTATTTAAACCCTCCTAAAAATTAAAATTTACTATTAGTCATCAGTGGAATACAAATTTAACAATATATAAAAATATAAGTATATTTTAAAATGTAAATCTTAAAAGAAACATTAAAAACAAATAAAACTTTATAATTGTTATAACTATATATGACTTATTTTAGAAAGTTTTTATAGGGCTGAAATATGCAAGACACTTGCAAAAACTTGGAATGAAATCTTTTGAATTTTATAAGGATGATACCATTCGCAGTTTTTAAAAGCCTATGTGAAAATATTACTGGTCTTTAAATTATTCAAAATCCAAAACATTTTAAAAAAATGAAATGCAATAAATTTATGACAATAAAAGTACAAAACATCACTAATATTATTTATTTAGACAACAGTTAATTCAGGTATTAAAAATTCATGATTGGATAATCAGGATTTTTTTTTTTTCTTATTGCATGTGCATATATAGTTTTTAGAAACTTAAAAGAGAACTTTAAAACTAAAACTAGAACTTTAAAACTAAAACAAATTAAAATATGTGTATAGGGTAGGCCTTTTGAGAAAATATGTGCGATGACATCCCTAACATATACTGATATCCCTTACATAATCACAACTTGACACCAGTCATTTGCATGTTTGATCAATATTTTTAAATAAGCTGAAAAAACTAAAAAACTAGAAAATTGAAAATAAAATAAAAAATACACAAAAAAAGAAAAAAAAGAAATCTGCACTAATGAGAAAAAATAAATAAAAGATAAACTTGAAAAAATAAAACTATAAAAATTACATATAATTTTAAGCTTTTCACTTGACATTTTATAAAATATTCAAAAGATTTAACACTTATTATTATTAATCCAGAGTTATATTTTTCAAAACTTTATCACTTAATAACTACAAACCTATTATTATTAATCCAAACTATAAATAACTACAAACCTTTTGGTATTTACCTACTTGCGCGTCCACAAAGTGAATAAAAAACTTTAAAAAATGTAAAAATTAATAAATAAAAAAGATTTGAACCCAATATCCATCTCACAGTTACACCTCAAATATTGAAAGTCGGTTTTAGAGTATTACACTAACATAGTGAACAAATAAGATTGTTTTATTTAAATTTTTTTAAAGAAAATACCCATATATTATGGTTCATCTAGTCAACAATTATGTTCAAAAAAAGTATTATTCTTTTTTTTAAACTTGTTTGTTTATCAATAAAGTGGTTATTTGCATTGATTACTCAGAGACAAAAAAGACTTTATAAAAAAATACATGAAAATGCTAACAATGAAAACGATAAGAGAAAACATAGCATTCCAGTAGAGTAATGATTTCAAAATAAAATAACACTTTTCAAATATTTTCAAATATTTATACATTTTCAAATATTGATTTTGAAGTAGTTGAAATTGATCTATAATTCTTTTAAAACCAGATAAAGAAAATTGAAGAGTTGAAAAGTTAAAATTTAATTTTATCGAGATAGAAGATGATGCAGCTTACAGAGATTACATTTTTATTCTAGCTTAGAGAGCTAGAATAAAAAATGAAAGACTTTCCAACAGATTATGACAAAAAAAAATAAGTTCAGATTTAAACAGAAATTATTTTTGTTTATATTAATTCACCTCCTCAAGGCCGAGAAGGCCACTACAGACGAGGAGGCTACTTATTTGTGGTTATAACCCTCTCTCAACTCTATAACTCCGAAACACAAACCTTGACGAGCAAGGCCGCTGCGCGGAGAAACGAGTTGAGCGCGGTACTACTAGGGACGTGGTGGGGATCGAACTCGGAACCACTCGTTTATGAAGGGAGCGCTCTACCACTACACCACTACCGCATATAATATCAATAATATCAATTGTGAACTTTTATTACTTCATTATTAAAAATGATTTTTACTTATAATAAAATAATTTTAATATTTTATAATTAACACTTTAATATTAATATAATAATATTTAATATACAATATATATAAGCATATTTAATAAATTACAAATTTATATGTAAAAGTTTTTATTAATTACTTTAAAAAAAAGTAGACTGCTAAATTAATCATAGAATTTACTGGTTGTGAACATCAGCCAAACAGAACATCAGCTCTCCTGATGTTTTAAAATTATGATATATTGCTTTGGGATGTCTTACTGTAAAATAGCATACTAAAATAGTATACTAAAGCATGGCAATAGAACTAATAATCTAATTACAATATAAAAAGTTATAAAATTTTAATCAACTGTTTGCCTGCTTCAAGTGATACAAACAGTAACACTGATATGCTGTTCAGTTTTTTGAATTGAACACTTGGCATTTCAGTTGCTTAGTGTAAAGGTTTATCCTCCCTAATTTATGGATGTTATGCAGGCATCAAATATATAAGGTACATATGTCTTACTTCATAAAAGCTCTCACAGGAAAAAACAGTCTCCATGAAGTAGTGGGTATTTGTTTTAAAGATAAAAAGTAAATCAGGATACCAAGAAGTTGATTGCTATAAAACCTTGCAAAAAGCGCCTTTCTATAGTAAAGGTCTGTTCAAAATAACTTCTGCAACTAGCACTTGTCAAGAGGCACATTTTACGGAACACAGTTACATAAAATGTGCCTCTTGACAAGTGCTAGTTGCACATATATATATATATATATATATATATATATATATATATATATATATATATATATATATATATATATATATATATATATATATATATATATATATATATATATATATATATATATATATATATATATATATATATATATATATATATATATATATATATATATATATATATATATATATATATATATATATATATATATATATACATATACAGTATTGTACAAAACATTTGTAACCAACATCGAACAATGCTAAAAAGTGTTCCTAATTTTACATGTCTTAAAAACAAAACGAACTATACTACCACAGCAAACAGTTCAGGAGTCTGGAGTCATAGCATGCCATGACATGAGCAATCAGCTGACAGGTGACAACACACAGGCAGAATTTTGTTGACAAGTGCCATTTTGCAGCGGACAAAACAAGTGCAACTTTTTTGGTTTGTTTCATTTTCTAAAGTCTGGTCCGTGTCAATAACACAGAATTTTTTTAATAATTAAAGGAAGCATTCAGAAGATTTCAGAAGCATGCAAAAGCTTCCAGAAGTTTCCAGAAGAAGCATCAGAAAACATCCAGAAGCATACACAAAGTATCCAGAAACATTCAGAAGCATCCAGACGCATCCAGAAGCTTCCAGAAGCATCAAAAAGAAGCATCTAGAATCTTCCAGAACAAGCTCACACAGGTTCATTTTACTATATAAGAGACATGTAAACCGACATGTAATTTAGTCAGTATATGGAAAACAATCAGTCAGTATTATCAAGACAGTTTATCGAAGTGAGTTTTATCAAAGTGTTTTATCAAAGAACATCAATACAAGAAGTGAAATACAACAAGTGTTTCATTACATCAATACAGTCCACATCCAACCAAGACGTTGTGTTCCACAGAGCATTATTGTATCATCACAAGGTAAATGTAACACGGTAAGCCTTGAGAAGCGTGATTATTTATTTTTATTATTTTTATGACTTCAAGTGCAAAAATGGCTCCTAACAGGCTTGGATTGGAACTAAGAAAGAAAATTATTTGCAATTACGTAAGTGAAATGTCACAAAAAAGTATTTGTGATAAATATCGTGTGAAATAACCGTATCAAGACTATGTTCCAAATTATTGTTTTACGAGGAAGTTGGCAGGAGATACCACCACTTCTAGAGAGGATCCGTCAAGAAGGATCCCTGGATATCATCAGTCGAGATACAAAAACAATTAGAGCTGCCTGTATTGGACCGAACTGTTGAAGCCAGATTGTTTTCTCAACGCCCTGCAAAGAAACCGCTGATTTTACAAAAGAACCAGATGAAAAGACTTCTGTTTGCTACATCTTTTATTGACTGGAATGTGCAGAAATGGAAACTGTCCTGTTCAGTGATGAATCCAAGTTCAACATTATTGGGAGCGATGACATTTGCAGTGTAGGTCGACCGGCCGGAATAACCTCGATTTATGTTACTGCCATAAGACCGTGAAGCATGGTGGAGGCAATTTAATGGTTTGGGGGTGTTTTTCTGCTAATGGTGTAGGTCCATTACATCGAATCTATGGAATAATGGACCATTTCATGTATAAAAATATCCTGAAAGATGTTATGTTATATCATACTGAATGGAATATGCCAATAAAATGAGTTTTTCAGCAAGACAACAATCTGAAACACACTGCAAAAGTAGTTCAAGCAGTGGTTTCAAGACAACCACCTATGGGTGATGGATTGGCCACCTCAATCTCCGGATCTCAACCCTATTGAGAACCTGTGGGAGATCGTAAACCGCAGAATTAATCGTGAAAGGTGTTCCTAATAAGGATTAACTGTTTGAACAAATCCAAAAGGCCTGGGCAGCAATTCCACATAGTTTCATTGATCGCCTGATCAAACCTATGCCTCGAAGATGCAAAGCTGTGATTGTCAACAAAGGATTCGCAACAAAATATTGATAGTGAAACACAGCTCGGTCAACATTTTGTGTAGTTGCACTTGTTTTTTCCAGAAAGAAATCATTTTTTTTTAATACTTTTGATTAATTTATTAATTTTCGTGTACAAATAATGAACTTTGTGATGAATAAAAATTAAAGAACTCGAACATTGTCTCTAAACAGTTACATAGTTATTTCTCTAAATTGAAAAAATGCAGCACTTTTATATAAAAAAAACTAAATTAGCATTATTTGGTTGCACTTGTTTTATCAGATACTGTATATATTGTTCCAAAAAATTTGGATATTAGTTTGTTTTTTTTGTTTATGGTTCTTTATGATTCTTATACAATAAAATTAATAGTTTTTCGTATAAGCATAATAAGCGTTTTTTGGTTATGTTGTTGTAGGCCCGGGATAAACCAATTTAAATTGGGTGTTGTTTTTAATTTATTTTGTGTATCCCATAGATATATTGAAAGCGTGGTTGTGTTTGCAAGTTTTTTGTTTTTGAAAAACTTCTTGCTTGTGATTCACCCATCTAGTTTTCCACATTTTATTCTGCCCTTGCCAATTTAAATATTTTTTCGTAAGAAGAATTTTGCGATAACCTATCATTGATAGCAATTGGAATTTGTTTAATAATTTGTGGAGGGTGGTTGGGCACTGTATGGATGTAAAGTAGGTTGCTATTTGGTTTTTTGTAAGGATGATATGAGTCTTTTTCAAGGTTAAAACCTTACGTCTAAGAAGTTGACAATTGTTAGGTTTGTCATAATTTCTATTTGGAAGCCGATTTTTTTAAAAATTTTTATATTTTTTCGGATTCTATCAATCTGTGTGGCAGATTTTTTACACATTTTAATCAGTCCGTCATCCCGGTAAATATATACAGACCGACCAGCTTGCAAACCTCGGCTCCATCGTAGCAACCCATTGTGGTGTCGAAGCAGTCGTTAGTTGATTTTTATTATTGAAAAATAACAAAGACTTTCTTTGTTATTTCTTTGGAAAACATTTTTCCAGCGCATAGACAATTTTCAACTGAATTTATTTCATATAGTTTTACGGGTTTTAATTTAATTTTAGCCATTTTTAAAAATCTAAATACTGTTCAAATATCTTAATACTGTTCAATACTGTTTAAAAATCTAAATACTGTTCAAATGAAGTTTTCAATCAATTATTGTTGTAAAAATTATTAGTTCGCCTACTTTTTAATTATTTTGAAAGCTGCACAGTGGAAAATAGTACTACAAAAATGTACCATAAATGTTTTTTGCTTTTCAATTTCACTGCCGAATTTTTTTTTAATAGTTAAATAGTTGATCTTTAGCTTTAGTTTTGTTTCAGCAAATTTTATGTCAAAAGATCTTTAATTAAAACTCATTTGCTTCATCGCTTAAAAAGTTATTTTCTATAAACTCTTTAATGAATAAGTGTAAAGTGTTATACATTTTTGAAAGCATCATGTTATGGAGATTTTAGAACAAATTCATATTTTTAATAATATGGTTTTGTTTACTATTAATTAATTGAACTATAAAATGAGCTAGAAAATAAAAATCTTAAAGTTCACTGATATTTTTACTAGTCACCCATGCTTCCCCACACTTCATTTTTGTAATTGATTTGTAGCTTAGGTATCTATAAAATTAATTTATTGAAAATCAGCTGTGGATACATACGGTTTTCAAAATTATAGATAAAAAGTGTTAAAAGTCAGAAAATAGAAAACTGCTTTTTATTGTGGTTTCAGACTATATCTGTTTATAACAATAGTTTTTGTCAGTTTTTTATTGAGAATTAATTTTGATGGAAATACATTCTATTGTTAGTATTATTATTGGTTGTTGTAGATTATATAAAAAGCCTAATATACTCTTTACGGCCATCTATAACTAACAAATGTTGTATAGGAATACTAGTAAAATGTAAAATTTTTTAACAATGATAGATGGAAAAGTGGCTTTGGTATTAACAGATACGCCTTCTGCATCTACATGTACAATATGTGGAGGTATTCCACGACAAATGAACAATTTGACTAAAGTGTCTGCTAAGCCCGAAAATGAAAGTTTGTATCAATATGAACTATACACATTACATGCCTGAATTCGGTGTATGGATATGATACTACAAATTTTCTACAAAGTGTCTTTTCAAACATGGTCAGCTAAAAGTGAAAAAAAAAAGAAAAAAGAAAAAAAAAAGACTTTGGTACAGAAACGTTTTCAGGAGCAGCTAGAGTTAATCGTCCACAAACCAAACAAGTAAGTAGTAATACCAATGATGGTAATACTGCTAGGAGATTTTTTTAATGCAAGCTGTTCTTCTGAAATCCCTGGAGTAAATAAAAATTTGATTAAGCAACTTTACATAATTCTAAAAGCTCTCTCCTCAAATGCTGAAAGTTTTGGTACATATGCTACAGAAACTGCCCACATATATGTGAGTAATTATATCTGGTACTATTTACCGTCTTCAGTACACAAAATTTTACTTCACTGAGAAAATATCATAAAACATTTTACAGTACTGCCTAATGGTCAACTTTCAGAAGATGCGCAAGAATCTCGTATTAAAGATTATAAAAATTTTATCTTCATTATGCCAGGAAATGTTGTAGATTAGCAACAAATTAGGACGTATTTCATACTCTTCTGTACACTTCCGATTCCTACATCACCAGCATTAGAAAACTGAACAGCAAAAATAATCAAGAACTTGATGAACATACTTTTGCAGCTTTTAAAAGTCAACATATTTTATTTGATAAAAACTCACTGTATAAAATTTGTTTTTAATAAACTATTCCAAATATTTCTATAATCAGCATTTTACAAACTCTTGAAAATATTATTCTAGATGTTGAAATATGCAAATTAATTAATTACATGCAACAATTAAAAAATAAAATTAATAAAGCAGTTAAGCCTAATATAAGAAAAATGTTTCTTAAAAAGTTTAAAAATTATGTGTTTGTTTTTAGTCTAGATTTTAGCCAAAAGCTAAAAATTTTTAATTCATTATATATATATATATATATATATATATATATATATATATATATATATATATATATATATATATATATATATATATATATATATATATATATATCTATATATCTATATATCTATATATATATATATATATATATATATATATATATATATATATATATATATATATATATATATAATATATATATATATATATATATATATATATATAATGAATTAAAAAATTAGAAAAAAGTACAAAAAGAGGGTTTGCTGCCTTTTTTTATGCACCATGTTTTTTGAAAAATTTTTCAAGAAAAGTCTTTAAGAGCATCCAAAAAATAAAAATCGAAGATAATATTTCCAGATATTTATGAATGTTTAACCCTTGTGCATCAAAAACAATTAACTTTTTTTGTTCTTATTTTACTCCAACTTAATCTGGAAAACTGCCTGGAATAAAGTCACAATTTTAAAAATTATATATATATATATATATATATATATATATATATATATATATATATATATATATATATATATATATATACATACTATATATATATATATATATATATATATATATATATATATATATATATATATATATATATATATATATATATATATATATATATATATATATATATATATAATGAATTATAAAAATAGTTTCAAAACCATATTAAAAAACTTACATTAGAGAATATTTTACCATCATTTTCATCAGCTAAATGACACTGTATCTCTAAATCCTTTTTAAAATCATTTAATTTTTGCTTTTTTAATAAACTTGCCTCCTGAGACTTTATATCTTCTTCAGACTCCAATTCTAATAATAATAATAATAATAATAATAATAATAATAATAATAATAATAATAATAATAATAATAATAATAGTAATGATAGCAATAATAATAATAATAATAATAATAATAATAACAATAATAAAAATAAAAACAAGATAAGTAATTTTTAGGACAATTTTTCAGTAATTTTTTTTTTTAAAAAAAAAACTTATCTATAAATCTTAAAATTTCTAAAATATGAAAAACTCTTAAAGTATTCATTTACTTAAGTATAAATATCTAATAATATAAGACATGTAGAAATATAAAAATTAATGACATAAAGAATATTTTAAATAAAGGAATATAAAAAATTATGACAGAAATATAAAAGAAATAGAATCTTATGAATCAAATAAATAAATATGCCATCAAATCTAAAAAAAAAAAATTCCTAATTCAACTGAATCCACAAAACTGCTGTTTAATAAGATTTTGAAAGAATTACTTTCGCTTTTAAATATTTTTGTAAAAATTTATTATAATATACTTTTCAAAATACTATACATACATTTATAGTGGTATCTGTAGAGATGCAACTGGCTTTTTTTAATAAATAAATTTTTGAAAAAAAACCTTGGGCTTTGTTTACTTATTTGTCAAGGCAGGCTATCCTGTCAGTCTTGCAGGTCAAGTTATCCTGCTACTGGTAACATGTAACCCAGTGCAACCTGCTTTATGTCTCGCTGCCTAGTAGGATACGCTTTTATTGGCAAAAACTAAGTGAAGCCAACTCCGACTTTAAACACCACCTGGCATGGGGCTCTTGGTTGAGTAAGGGCTAGAGATAGTGTATCGATAAAAATACTCATCTTGAGCAGACGCTAAACGCATCTGGCTACTGTTTTGTAGAAGGCCTCCTAGGCAAAGACTTAAAAGGTAAATAGATTCTATCTGTTGACCAGCCTCACAGCACTTCTCCATTTATTTGGATGGCGTAAATGTATTTATAATACACTGTTTCTAATTTAGGATGTTGAATGCTGGACCTTCTTGACTGTGTGGGTTTTGCTTGTGTCTCTGGTTATGGTTCTGAGGCCAACTGGTAGTCAGGTTTCCCGAACTCTGTGGTAGCTCTCAGAAAGGTTTATTCCATAAACAGCTGTAAAATATCAGAGTAATAACATTGGTGTCCCTATTCATACTTTTGGTATGCATTGTCGAGGTCACATTTAGGGCCCTTTGTTAGGGTTCGAGTTAGGGATTTTTTTGATGATTTTTCTGATCAAAATGACTAAACTCTTTCTCTTTACTCTTCAGTCAATATCTTTGTTGTTGGTGACTTTAATGCTCATCACACTCAATGACTTAGCTTGAGTGTCAGTGAATCTGCACGCGTTAAGGCCCACAACTTTTGCCTTTTTCAATCTTTAACTCAAATAGTCAACTTTCCAACTCGTTTTCCCAACTATCTGAATCATTTACATTCTCTGCTTGACTTACGTCTTGTTTCTGATCCTAGTCAGTGCTCAGTTTCTCAATATTCATGCTAAGATTCTTCTGATCATGATTTTATCTCTCTACAACTATTATCTCATTCTTCTTCATCATCAGAACCCTCTAATCATTATGCTTCTTACAACTACCTTAAAGCTGACTGGGTATCTTTCTGTTATTTTCATTGTGATGACCCTTGGGTAGAAATCTTTCGTCTTCTTACTGACAAATGTGCTTCTTATGTAACTTCTTGGATTCAGGCTGCATTCAAATCCTTTATTTCCTCTAGACAATTCCAAGCCAATTCTCACTCTTCACCATGGTTTTCTTCTCATTATGCTGCTGCAGTTTCCAGTCAAACCCATCCGCAAAGCAGCTCCCAAGAAAATAGTCTGTTTACTATTGCTAGAAACCAATGTAATAAGGTTTTGTCTAATGCCGAACCCCTCTATTCTAAGGTCACAAAATCTAATATATCATATCAAAAACTGACTTCTGGAGAATCTTTAACAGTATCTATAACAAGGGTAATTCTATTGTTCTGCCTCATTTTTATTGGAAATTTTATTGAACTGCAAGAGCAGGTCCAGACCTACTCTTGCAGTTAACCTCCAACCATTTTCACTATGTTCTAATGTTGCTTCTCTTTTTCTTTTATTAAATTACTATAATGGACACTGTTCTGAAGAGCAACTAAAATTAATTCTTGTGTTACTCGTTATTCAATTAAGACTCACTTTTTTACTGTGACTGTTGTTGTAAGTGCTCCAAAAATTCTTATTCGTCAAATTTTTTTCCTTGAACATCAGTCCTTTGAAATTGGCTTTCTTCATCTTGTTTTCTAGATTCATATAATTTGCAATCTTCTAAGTTATCTGTTAATCATTATCTTGCTATATAAGCTTCAACTTTTCAAGCCCAGTAATTTCTAACTCTTACAGTGGTTGCTCTCAGCCTTGTTAGTAAAGATGTTGAAAAAAAAAACTTGCTTTTTTTGAGAAATATTTAACAACTTATTATCCAACCTATTAAACTTAATGGCAATACTTTTTTAATATATATAAATTTCAGATATAAATATGACTGAAATTGATCAAAAATTCTTATTATGTTGATTTGAATAGTAATATGAATGGTAATATCTTCAAGCTATGTTTAATGGTAATAGAGGATATCTTCAAGCTATTTACTGTATACTGCTGAGCTTTTAAAACTTTGTGTTGCAAATATAATCATACCTTGATCTTGATGATAATTATTTAGGCTGCATTTTTATTTCTACTTTTAAGAAAACAAAAAAGTTAATTATAAAAGTATTAATCTACTAGACTATAAAAGTTATTATAATATTTAATAATAATATAATTATAATAAAAATATTCAATTATAATATAAATTATTTACACTAAAGTGAATAATAAGATAAAAACCATGTAAAAAAATCATATAAAATGAGTCATAAAACTAATTTTAACCTTTTATGTCAGTTTAACCTTTTGAGGACCTACAAAACTGTACTCTACCATTAACTTTTTTTAAAGATTTTACAAATTTCTCACTATTTAAATAAATGTTATTCCTAAAAATTAATTCTATGTAACACATAAAGAAGTTTTTTTTTTGTTGCAAAAGAATTAAAATTTTTTATCTGATCATAACTAGTGCTTCCAATACCATTAGTATCGAAACTGGAATACCGGACTTTTTCAAGTACCAAAATACCGGTATTGGTATATTATATATATATATATATATATATATATATATATATATATATATATATATATATATATATATATATATATATATATATATATATATATATATATACATATAGACATAAGAAAACTATTTCTTATGACTACAGTAGTCATAAGAAATAGATTTATTAGATATATATTCATAAGAAATAGATAGTAACACATGTTTGAGTTTTTTACTAACTAATGCAAAAACAATGTTAATAGAAAATTTCTAAAAGAAAATTAAAACTTAAAAATATTTTTAATTTTATAAAATTGTCAAGATAATAGATTATAAAAAGCTATTCATAGTGTAATTTTATGCCATGTAAATTTTATAGAATTTACTGCAATTATAATAACATTAACTAAAAAAACTTTATGCATTTTGAATTAAGAATCTGGAATCACCTTAATATCCAGAAAAACATAAAATGTCTCAAAAAGTATAAGAAAGTTTTGTGAGGTTTTATTTTCCGCGTGATAAAGAAAATCAACTTGCAAAGTGTAAGAAATGCAACAAAGAGATAAAACTAAATAGCGGAAGTACCAAAGAACTAACCATGAAATTGACTGAGGAGGAAATTATCCCAAGATGCAGCATCATCAATGGTTTCGTTTTCATTGGTACCAATGTTTAGGTAATTGTGATCAACAGTTGTGCATTGTGAAATTTAACTAAGTGTTCAAGACGTTTTGTACAAATCAACTTCTGCAAATAAAACTTGAAAGTAATCTGCAATTACAACAAAGTAGTGAAAGTGACAAGGATAGAAATACTGATAATGACACAAACAAAACCAATGATGGTGAAGACTTTTACGAGTTTCAAATTGCAATGAGAGACGTTCATGATCAATAACTTTGGAGAAACCGATTAAGGTGTAAAGTCGAAAGCTATGTTGGAGTGACAATTCAATGAGCAACGTACATCTTTTTCCAGTTTACTACAATATCTGAATAAGGGCCTCCAACATTAAGAGAATTTGGATCCAGCGCTATCTTTTGAGAACCTTAGCAAATCAGCCATTGTAAATACCATTGCTCAACTAAATGATTGGTTCAATTTTGAAGCGCTTAATCCACTCCCTTTTGCCAGCGTTTCTTCTGAAAGTGATTTTGTTGACAACACTGTAAACTTTTCATTGAAAGAATAGCTTGATTTAGCAATTTAAAAAATAAGAAATGTATAAGTATAAAGAATATAAATGTATATTCCCTTATTCTTTATAAATGTATAAACAATAAAGGAATATTGAACGTTTCCAATAATTTATTAAAAACTATATGTAATGAGAACCTATATGTAATGAGATGACAGTTTTTGAAGTAAGAGGAAATTGTAGCATTTATTTGCAAAATTCCTACAAATACTTAAAAACTGTGAAGCCAACAAGTGTTGAATCAAGGTGTTTATTTTCAGCAAGTAGCAACATTGTCACAAAATTACCATCATTTCTTGAGGATGATACTCTAAACACCCTTTGTTTCTTACTGGCTCATTTTACAAAGGAGAAAAAAGCAAAAAATGAAAAAGTCAGTTATTTTGATATAAAATAAATAAGCTTATTGAATTAATGAAATTTTTACTATTAACTTGATATTTTACTTATATTATCACCATTTTTAAAAAAAGTTAAATACTGGTATTACCAGCATTTAAATTACTCAGTACCGAAATACCAGTATTGATAAATGAAAGCACTAATCATAAGGTTTATTTATACTTTTTTCTACTATTATTTCTTTTATCTGTTTTTGTTTAAATTAAATTTAAAAAATTAAATTTAAATACAAAATTTAGCTCCACTGTTTACTATAATTTACTATGTATATAAGTTGTCTCAGTGCTACATAAAATTGCTGATAATTATATCATATTATCTACATCATTTTTTTGCACTTTTCTTTAAATGCCAATATTTTCAAAAATTAAGGTCACCCAGGATGATCCGTGATTGCAGACTGAATCCAGTATATCAGTAAAAAAGATACAACCTTGTTTGATAATAAAGTATTCCGCTCTTTTAGATAAAATTTCTGATCAAATTGACCATGCTCTCTCTTTTTACGCTTCTACCAATATTGTTGTTATTGGTGACTTGTTGTTATTAATATTATACAATATTATTGTTATTAATATTATACAATATTGTTGTTATTGAACACACATCACACAGAATGGCTTGGCTCTAATGCCACTGATTCTGCAGACACTAAAGCTTTCTTCTGCATTTCTCAATCTCTTACTCAGATAGTTATCTTTTCGACTCGTTTTTCTGACAACCCTAATCATTTACCTTCACTCCTTGATTTATCTGGTCTCTGATCCTAGCTTGAGTTCAGTTTCTCTTTTTTCTCCTTTAGGTGGTTCTGACCATGCGATGATCATTTTAAATCTTTCATCTCATACCTCATTTTGGGACTCACTCTATCATCGCACTACTTATTACTACCCTAAAGCTGACTGGGACTCTTTTCGTGATTTTCCTTGTGATGGTCCTTGGGCTGATATCTTTTCCTTCTCAGCTAAAAAAAGTGCCTCCTACGTAACCTCCTGGATTCAGACAGAAATGGATGCTTTTATTTGTTCTCCTTGGTCCCAAGTCAGCCTCATTCTACTTCATGGTTTTCACCACTTTGTGCAGTAACTATATCTAGTTGCAATCATTTTTTTCATCTTTTTCAAAAGAACAACTTACTTTATGCGTGGTTGTTATTGCAAGAAATCAATGTAAGAAGGTGCTGTCAGATGCTAAGCTCCATTATTCTTAGTTTACTAAATCTCCATTATTTTTAGTTCACTAAATCTCCATTATTCTTAGTTCACTAAATCTCCATTATTCTTAGTTCACTGAATCTTATTTCAGAAGTTAGGCTCTAGAGACTTTTGGAAAATCTTCAACATCCTTGTTAACAAAGGAAGGTAACATTCCATTTCTCATTCATAGGACTGATCTTATTACCTTTCCCAAGGATAAGGCTGATCTATTTACAAAGAACTTGAACAAACAACTTTTATTCTTGAACTTTGAACAAACAACTTTTTATTATTGCAAGAAATCAATGTAAAAAGGTGCTGTCAGATGCTAAGCGCTATTATTCTCAGTTCACTAAATCTCGTATCTTATCTCAGAAGTAAGGCTCTAGAGACTTTTAAATAATCTTCAAAAGCATTATTAACAAAGAAAGGTCTAACATTCCATTTCTCATTCATAGGACCAATCTTATTACCTTTCCCAAGGATAAGACTGAACTATTTGCAAAGAGCTTTTTGTCTAATTTGACTCTTGAATATTATGGCTATTCTCTTCCTTCATCAGACATTTAAATCACTCCAGCTAAAGTCATATCTTGATTAAATCCACTCCATTTAAATCCACTCCATTGCTAAAGTCATATCTTGATTAAAACTTTTCTACAACTTGTGGTCCAGACAATATTCCTGTCACAGCCTTATAAAATTGTTCTCCAGAATTCTCTTCAATTTTCTCTAAACTATTTAAAATGTGCTTGACTGAGTCTTGTTTTCCTGCCTGTCGGAAAATGGCATTTATTGTTGCAATTTTCAATAACTTGGGTTAACATTTTGACCCCTCTAACTATCATTTTGACCCCTCTAACTATCATCCAATCTTCTTTCTGTTATTAGCAAGGTCTTTGAATCTTTGTAAACAAATTTTGATAAACAAATTTCTCACATTCCTATCTTGAGTCAAATAACTTGCTGTCAGACAATCAAAACAATTTTTAATCCCTGCTCTACGGCTGACTTAATAACTGCTGTGACTAAAAGATTTAATTGTGCATTAGATGGAAGCTATTAGTCTTGACATGAGGCTTTTGACAAAGTTTGGCATGTTGGTCTTCTCCATAAGCTTGTTTCATATGTTGTATCTGGGAAAGTTTTTGAGATAATCAAATGGTTTCTTTCTAATTGCTTTATTTAAGTCATCCTCCAAGGCCAACACTTTTCTTTATTTCCAGTAACTTCTGGGGTACCTCAAGGTTCTATCCTTGATTCCATTTTGTTTCTGATCTACATTAATAATCTTCCTGACAACCTTACATTTAAAATAGATTTTTTGCTGATGACTCAACTTTATACTCCTGTCTTGACAAAAAGTCTTCTCTTTTCAAAAGCTTAGAACAGGCAGCCAATCTTGAATATGATCTTACTTCTTAAACAGATTGGGGTTCACAACTGCTTGTAAATTTTAACTCCAACAAAACTCAGTTATTTATTGCAAACAATTATTGCAGAACTGTCAACATTCCTATATTGATGAATAGTAACCCTCACACTGAATCCTCTTCTTTAATTGTCATAATTACTGACCTTTCATGAAAACTATACATACAATCAATTGCTAAATTGAAAACTATACATACAATCATCTGTTAAGATTGCTTCTCTTTATTGTGCTTATAGACAAGGCCTGAAAACGCATTGTAAATATAGTTGGACCCGGTCTATCTGCTAAGCTTCAGCCTCTTTACCTTCATTGTAATGTTGCATCTCTTTCTCTTTTCTATACAACCTTTAACTCTTTAAAGAAATCTCTCTTAAAAAATTAAAAAACATATTTTTTCTCTTAAAAAATTAAAAAACATTTTTTTTTTAGAAAAGCAATAAAAGAGGAATATATATTTAATATAAATAACAATAAAATAAAAATAAAAAAAACAAACAATTTTAAACAAACCTAATTCTTGATTGTCTTGAACAGGATAATTTACCTGAATCATGAATTGAAAAAAATTAAAAATTTGCACTACCAACAACAAAAAAATGAAACCCATAACAAATAACAAGTAAAATAAGTTAAATGATTTATTAATCATTTAACTTATTTTACTACTATTAATAAATAAAAATATATAAATTTAAAAAATATGAGTATAAATAATTTATTGCTAAAAAAAACTCAAAATTCATGAGTTTTTATAATTGTATTTCTATGAATAATAAAAATTAAAAGATAAATTTAGAAAATGGCATCAAAAGTCTGTAAATTTGAAGCTTGCAACAGCATTTTAAAATTTAAAAAACTTTTTGCTTTAAAATTTAAAAATTTTTTTCCAGTTTAATAATTGAACAAAAAAAAATCCAAAGGAAAACATTAATATGAGAAAAAGCCAATTCAAGGTTTTTATATCAAACAATTTGAAGCAGATCAATCGCAGTTGGTTTCCACTTTTTATAACTATCTTTGATATCTGTCCAGCTTAAGTTTTTATAACCATCTTTGATATATGTCCAGCTTAAGTTGCAAAAATTATCGATTGAAAAATAATGCTTCAGATATTCATCAAATACTTATAATAAAAAAGTTTTCAAAAAACATCAATATGTTTAATGGTAACTCCTTTATGTCAAATTTTTTTTGCTGACCTGAAGCCAACCTTAAACAGTTTAAAGTTAGCATCTGACCTGATGCTAACTAAAAAAAAACTATAAATATATATACAGACTTTTTTAAGAAGCGTTTCCCTATTTGAATTTTACGTACGTATTCACGATTTTACGTACGCGTTTCGCAATTTACGTTACTCAAAAACTTTTTTCAACAGGTTTATTTTAAACAGTCTTTTAAAACAGATTAAGCGGAAAACATTAAACTGTAATTAATTGTTGTAAAAAACATTTGTCTTATATTTTCTTTAACTAGATAAAAAAATAGATAGATATCCTTTTCCTATTTTCCTTTTTTTAAAAAAATATGTTTTTAATTTATTTTATTAAATTTAAATTATTATTATTCATAGTTTTAGTAATTTATTTGACTAAATTTAATGAAAATTCTTTAAAAAATTTCAAAATGCTCTGTTTTACAATTTTTTTCACTGATAAAATTTCCAAAGATTATGTTAAAGTAAAAAAAAAATTATTAAATTTAATTCAAGTTACTTTAAAATGTTTGCATTACATATATTCATTTTAATTTCAGTTCAGTTTCAAATAGTTCAAGTTCCAAATACTGGGCTGAATAATACGCTTTTATAAATTTATAAATGACATCAATACAATAAAAAAATTTTTAAACTCGAGTTTAAATGTTAAGTTTGGGTTTTCCCTTTGCCGTTAAATTTGGTGTAAAAGAATTTTTTTATAAAACAAACCAAACTTTGAACCGATTAAAAATAACGCAATCAATAAATAAACTCTTTAACCTGTTCGCTGCCAACTACGAGAATACTCGTAGTAAGTAAACGCTTAATATTTGCCAACTACAAATATACTCGTAGTAAGTAAACGCTTGATATTTGCCAACTACGAGTATACTCATAGCAAGCCGGAGTCCTGAGTTTGCCATCAACGAGAATACTCGTAGTTATACTAACTTATTTCAAATAATATTTGTGCATGATTGGCTTTATCTATTTAATTTTTAATTTTTTTTTTTAGCTTCACAGTTGATTCTCATAAAAGAATACACATAAGTTTTTACTTTAAAAATCCCGGGAATGTAATTTAAATACAGGAAAAAAAATATTTTTTTTAAACAAATAGAAGTAAAGTATTGAATTTTTTAAAATTTTATTTCTTGAAAATTAAAATGTAAACCTATTCTTTTGAATGATACATTCTGAAACATTCGCCAACGCATAACGGAGGTCTATTTTCACAAACAGCACATTTATATGGTGTTTCTTTTCGTTTTATTTTAGAGCAAACACGATATGGTTTTGTAGGCATTTTTTTCTTTTCATTCGGCGGTATTGAAGACAAGTAGTGGAGACTATTATTGGTGATTCGAGGAACAATTTCATTTAAGGGATCACCCAATAAATCCGTAACAACTAGTTCTCTAAACTTAAGCAAATAAGTTGTTTTATCTACTCCGTGTTTGCTGCTTAGGCAGTAAGCGTTAAGCACAAAAATATCAAAAAAATGAAGTGCTACTTTCTTATACCATCTAATTGTTTTTCTTAGGCAATCATAATATGATACCATTTGATCCGCCTTATCTACTCCTGACATATATTAATTATAATCTTTTATAATGTTGGGTTTCATTTTCTTCTCTCCTCTCCTGTTTGTTACTTCAATCATTTGTAACAAATGCAAGTTGCTAATCATTAGCACGTCTCTTTTATCTTTCCATTTTGCAACCACTACACCCTCTCTGCATCTGCTTATAACGTCTCCCCGTTTCAGTTTAGCTTTTGTACATTCTTTTGGATTTGACTTTTGGTCAGTTCTTAACGTACCACATATGTATGTGTTTTGACTTATCATGTGCTTTGTTAGTTCAAAGGAATTGTAGAAGTTATCGGTGTACAGGTCATAACCTTTTCCTAGAAACTTCTCCATTAAGTCTAAAACAATAGCTCCAGTTTGACCCAACAAATGTTTATCGAGAGTTGTCTCACCTGAGTAAATTTTTACTTTAAGCACAATACCATCCGATTCGCAAAGCTCATAGAACTTGATACCATACTTATGTCTTTTATTTTTAACATATTGCCTGAATACAAGACGTCCCTTCCAAAGCATCATTGATTCATTGATTGAAATATTTTTGTTCGGACAGTAGATGTTGTCCATTGTATTATTTAAGTGATCAATAAGTCCAATAATTTTACACAAGCGTCCACCATCCGAATCTTCATTGTCAATGAAATGCCAGAACCGTAACATTAGTTGGAATTTATTTCTTGAAATTATTCTAGAAAATAAGGGAAATCTATAGAGACTGTTCTTAGACCAGTAGTGTTCAAAGGATGGCAATTTAACACATCCCATATGAAGAAGAACACCAAGGAACTGCCGCATATCTTCTGAATTTATTGGTTTCACATTTTTAAAATGTGAGCTTCTTCTAAGCGGACGCTGCTTACTGATTTCTTGCATTGCGTAGCGATTAGTTTCAACTACCATACTATTTATAAACTCTTCTGTAACAAATAGTCGAAAGAAATCCAATGGTTTTTTGCTTTCCATGTTAATCTTCAAACCAGGAGTGGCAGTAAATTTAATTTTCTTAACAATATTCTGCCCATCTTTCCATTGATTTAAATTTCTAGATAGATTTGTTTCAGAAGTTGTTTTGTCAAACAAAATATTTTTTAGATTTACTTGCAGAGCTTTATTTTGATTTTGTCTGTAAGCAAGACCACATGTTGTTCTAGCTCTTTTCAGAGGCATTAAAAAATATTCTGCAGTGGCTGCTGTATGAACTTTTGTTAAGTGATCGTCATCACTTTCTTCAGTGCTATTATCTTCAGATTCTGATTCTAATGCAGTCAAACTGGAAGACGTTGTAGTATAAGCAAAAAATGAGTCTGAGTCATCAATATCATCATCTTCACTTTTTCCACAATCTTCCATAACTATTTGTGCTGCTTCAATTGCGGAATATCTGCGTTGAACTACTATTAGATAGATAAATTTATAAGTTATATATTTGTATAAGGGAAATTACTTATTTATACTAAAAAATTTTACAAGTTTACATGTAAAACATTATAAACTAAAATGCACACTTAGGTTTTTTACCCTTTATTCATAACAATGTAGTTACAAATTTATTTTAGATTATATCCAAAAAAAATAACTTCTAATTAAAAAATCGAAATATAAATTACCTTTTTTACTCATGATAACTGCCTAAGTGCATGTGCAAACAAAAAACACAACTCTATTCTATCACATCTCTATTCTAATGCATCAAATAAGCTACATTGTTAGTCACCACAATGAGTTATACTCAAAAATACTTACGAGTATACTCGTACTTCGGCACTGGAGAAAATAAATTATTCACCAGTACGAGTATACTCGTAGTGCTTAATTTTTGTCAATTATATTCAGTATAAAAAGTACTATAAAAATTTATTTGATTAAAAATATTATAATTATTGAAATGTTGATATCTAACATTGGCAATGGGAATAAAACCATGCAAAACAGCCTCGGCAAAAGTTAATCATATCAGAATTTACGGCTCGGCAAAGAAATAAACCATAGCTAAAAATAGCTCGGCAGTTAACGTGTTAAAAGCCTAACTTATATTTATTTTATTTTTTAAAAAAATATAAGTTAGGCTTTTGCTATAAATATAAGATTTATAAAATTTCAAAACTATACTGATATTTATTAAAAACAAGTTCTGGTAATAACATCTTAAAACCGAAAAACTATTTGTCTTTTTGGATTCAGTAAGAAATAGTAAAAATACATTAGGTTTCACAGTACATAAAAATAAAATACTTTAATGCAAAAAAATGTGAAAAGCGGTTTTTTTCGTTTAATTGCAATTTTTATTTTATCGAAAGCCAGTTAGAGCAAAGGTTTTTTTTAAAAAGGGGAAAACCCAATCTAATTGTATACATTTAAATCCCTTTAAGAAAATCAACCATAAACAAGTGTCCTCTCATTTAAAAAAAATAACCATAAAATGAGTTTTTTAAAGAAAAAAAATTAAGATTAAATAAGTATAAGATTTTAAAATAAAGAAATTTTTTTTTAATCAACATCAGGGTTAGAGTTAAATTTAATTTATAACTTTTTTAATTACAATATTGTTTAACTCAAAGATATAATTTTAAATTTGAATTTTTAAACATTTTAAAGAATTTTAAATTTTTTAAACATGTAAAAGACTTACAATAATTTCTGATGTGTTTTTGAATTTAATTACAATGAGGTATTTTAAAATACATAACTGGCGCAATTAAACTTTTAACAATGTAAATATCTTTATTTAATAAAGATATACATATATTCACGTTGC